ATCCTATTTATTCTACACATGATTGATTGAAAAATACCTTACTTGCTGAAAAGACTGTTGAACAATATAGTTTCCACTTACAAAGCACTTTCCTTAAAAAGCTTCTCAGGACAGCATTGTATAAAAATAGTTATACTAAAGTTGTGAACCAGCTTCTGACAAATCAGGACTAACAAAAGCTAAGGTATAAATAGAAGTGTTTTCGTGGGTTTTCTCTTCTCTAGAGGCACAAGAATCTCAGTCAGTGCTGGATTGTAACAAACAAAAATGCCCTTTTCCAGACACACAGGAAAACAAGGACCTTCCAGACTAGCAGCACAGAATATAAAGAGGTTTTCAAAGCTGCTTCAAAACCATAAAACTTAGTCAAAACTGTAACATTTGCATTTTAGAACCAGCCACGCCATATTGGACAATTTTTTTTTTATCCATTTCTTTATTATATTTCATACAAACTAGCATCTCCTGCTTTAGAGAAAGGTTAAACAAGTTGTATTTTTATAATTGTGGAATGAATTGTCTCCGGGCACTCAAGGATATGAGGATTATCTCAAGGTCTGCAATGTATTAGGATTCCTGGAAGACATGCTGAAGAATGTAAAATATTACATATTCTTGTGTTTATATTTTATCAGTGGGCAGAATAAATTCACCTTACTGGTCATTTTCAAAATTCATTATTTTTGCAAAGTAGATGTGGGGGTTTTTTCCTTATAGCAGGTTTTGAAACAGCTAAATGTAAAGCAAATATTTGCTAACCCAGAGTTTGGATAATCTTGATTTTACTCTGAGCCTGTTCCTTCTTCTGCTCTGTGCTGACCTTTTCTGAATCTACCAAACCCAATGTAGTTTAATCCACAATACCAAAGAGGGAAGGTCTGTTTCTGTAAGCCGAAAATAGTTCTTACTGCAGTTAACTTTGCAGCTGAATCGGTTCTGCTATTGCTCTTTAGGTCACGTTTGACCAGTCATGCCTGCACAGACCAGCAGCGAGGCTGAACACGGTGTCTACATCATCCGTCTGAGGCACACCGCTGTTTCCAGTGTAGTAGCTCCTATACTGAAAACACCTTCCCCCCAAAATGTTTACTTACCAACAACTGAATTTATAGTGTCCTTGGGGTCTATAGTAGTTGAGCTTTAGGGATGATCTTTAAGGTCCCTTCCAACCCTAACCATTTTACTATTCTATGATTCTATGATGCCGACTGCTTCAGTCTATGTATGGGAAGTAAGGATTTCAGCAAAAGTTTACGGGCATCAAATCCTTCTATATATTCTCCAATCATCAAATGATTGTCCTATAATCTTTCCTCTTGCAAAAAAAAATACTAGGGGGCCTTTTTCCATTCTGCGTGGAAGTCTGCTGTTCACCCCATTTTCCACCTTTGTAGTCGTTTAACATTGTTCGGCCTCGCCAAAAGGGAGATCTACAGCCATCTCACAACCTTGGAGCATCGCCCGCAAGCGGAGAGGCACAGTAAGGCTGCAGGGAGAACCTACGTTCCACCTCGTCATCATCCAAACTAAGACCTGGGTGACGTGCAGTTTGTGTTTTTTTGCTCCAATAGCAAAGAGTGCAGCAATTGTTTGGGCCAGTATTTCATTACCACCGTTACCAAAAAAAAAAAAATTATCAAGAAGACAGCATTCTGCTCCGTGCCGCTGCTGGGTAATAGTTTGTGCTATTTAATATCAGATATTTTGAATATTCCTCAGTAAAATAATATTTGGCCACTTCTGTTACCCAGTGATCACTGTATGAGAAATATCTGATGTAAAAATGACGACTTCTTCCTGCTAGAGCTACAGCAGAACAGATCTGCTTGCTGAAATTCTACCTCTGCCTGTAAGAGCAGCGCCAAAATAGCTGTAATAATTAATCATGCACCGATTAGATTATAAACTCTGAGATGGACCGGAGATTTTTGTATTATGCATCAGACAAAAGACACTGGCAATGCTTAACTAGCAGTCACCTGCTCCTGCTCCACCTGCCATTGTGGGAGCCCTCTGGAGACCAGAAAGGAGACAAAGGTCACAGAAATTGATAAAAACCTTCACCTGCCCCTGCTGTGTTCAGGAATACAGAACTGTTGAAACAGCTGCTGCCACAGCTGCATCCTGGGGTACCGCTTCGCTTATTAACTTGTAATTTGCCAGGCGACGCTCTACATCGTACCCCGCTGTGAAGGCGATGGAAGACGGCGTCCAAACTTGAGGCTAAGCGAGAGTTAAGCAGGGAGTTTCCTGACTGGGAACACCAGTGCAAACAGCTGCCTTGGGAGGGCTGGGCAAGGAGAGCCAAGGCATGGCGTGGGCGCCCGCATCCTGCGCTCACCCCCTTCGGGGTTCCCGTGCAATTGCCACGCTGCCCTGCCCCGTCAGCTGCCTGTAACATTATCAACAGGTTTCTGTGGAAATGGTCATTTTTTGCCAGAATGATATTATATGCAGCTGATTTTAGAGAAAATAGGAGTTAACACTGAGAACCACTAGAACTCAAAATTGGAAAATTACTTCCTAGTCTTAATTTCCAGTTAGAAATTTTGCTCAGCTATCTTAACTAACCTTTTCCAGGCCCTTTGCTTTTGTCCCATGACTCTTGGGGCCTATTAATTACAACTACAGAGGCAAAACCCCTCAGGGGAGGTAGTCCCTATGCTGGTTCCCGAATGAAATGAGATATTACCAGTGTGTCCAGTGTAATGCTTTTACTGGTATAAAAGCATGATTAAAAAAAGGGGACCTTAGAACCAGTTTTATGCTACCAACAAGAATTGTTATCAGTCTGGCCTTAGAAATCAAGCCAGTTTTAGGGGAGGAGGGGAAGGGGGCACTGTGGAACAAAATGAGCAAATCAAGTTAAAAATTACTTATTTTGCCAATTATTGAGGACACTACAGAGCACTGAACATCACAGAACAGCAGTTACTGTTAAAAAGCACTCAGGAGGCGAACAGTTGTCATTCCCCGCTAATCAGAGCAGAACTGGTGGTATCAGGGCTAGAAGGTCAGAGCAGGCCAGTACCTGCGCGGAGCAGGAGCACTCCCTGCCCACCGAGGGCTTGCACAGGGCAGGCAGAGCATCAGGCAGCTCTGGCGGGGCACACAGCCTGGGGACAAGTAGCTCAGGAGGGTCATGGCTGCCAGAGCTCCTCCAGGTGAACGTCACTGTCCTCCAACCCTACGGTCAAGCTCAGCACAGGTGGCAAAGCTTGCCCCAGAAGCAAGGGTGGTTTGTGTGACAGACGCACCATAGACCTTTGTTAATGAGACCTTCCTAATGAACAACAGCTAAGTTCTGGAGGCATCAAAATGTATCATTCTGCAACTAGGAATTTACAGACACCACAAGCCACATGGCTTATTTTTTTCCCCTTTTCTCTGTCCCTTCCACCACTGCCCTTTATGAAAAACAGAAGTTAAACGAAAGAATAGCTTTAATGAAACATTCAGGTTGAGAAATCAAAATCAGACACTCCAACAACAGGAAGTTTCAAAAGCAGTGTTTACAACAGCATGCTGCTGAACTGTAGCACACTTGCCTGCCTTGAAGTTTAAGCCATATTATAGTGTGCACCTTGCCTCAACAGCTGGGCACAAGGATAGCATGGTGGCGTTCGTTTAACGTGGCAGAACTTCCCAGGCATACGAAAGTGAATTAACTCAACCCCTGAACAATTTCCTGACCCCTGCCGTCAGCGCTGCGACTTTCGTCTTTCCAGTAAACACATCTGAATTGTTTCCCTGTGTGAGTGCACTTAAACTTGTTTGTTATTTTATTCTAGGGAGCTGGAGACAGTTTTGTGGGAGCACTCGCCTTCTACCTGGCTTACTATCCCAAGTTATCCATGGAGGAAATGGTCAGGAAGTCTAACTTTGTCGCATCAGTGAGCGTCCAGGCATCAGGGACACAATCTTCATATCCTTACAGGAAGGACTTGCCTCAGGACCTTTTCTAATTGACATTGTCTAGCTCAGTGTACTGATTTTATCTTATCCCAGACGGTATTATTCTCCTGACTGCACTGAGTTTCTCCTCTGCTGACTGGAAAGACCAGGAAAGTCTCTTTGTTTGTTATTTGAGGGATCCTGTTAGTTCCTGTTCTACTACAGTATGATGGGGTGGTGGTGGTGGTGGGTTTGTGTCTTTCGAACACAGCGCAGCAGGTCTCTCTGGCCCCACACTAACCGTTGGGCTTGTGGCCCTCCCACACAATGTGCTACACTGAACTACGCAAAGTTCGCAGCGAAACGTCTGGAGGGGATTGGGCTGCTGGAAATATTTTTACTTGATTTTATCAGAACTTCTGATTTGCAATGCCAGCACGTGAAGTAGAGTGTTAGCTTCGAAACAGCAACTTCAGTCCTTGGCTGCAGACACCATGGCCAGCGTTTGGCTTCTAACAAAGCACCGTACCTCCACCACTGTACCTCCAGCCCCGGCCCATCTATCCCTGCCTGCCTCAGATGCGGGCTGCGGCACTGCGCTCTGCCAGGCTGCGGTAGGTCCCTTGAGCTGGAAAGAGGCCAAGAGTGCTACTGAGGTAGACTTTGAAAAAAGTGTTTCTAGCCATATTGCTCTAGACATAGGTGAGCTAATTAAAGAAGAAAAGCTTCCAAAAACATCAGAGAATTACTTTGGCTATCTCCTTTCTTCATGATTGACAAAAATCCAGGAGTGAAAATTCCATCCTACTTACCTGACTAAAAATAGTATAGCTCTTTTAGCCAGGGTCACAGCTTACCGAAAAGCTCATTTTATTTCACCAGGTTCCCCTTGCTTCTTCCTTTCCTAGGAAGGAGCTGGTGCAACGCCACCCCTCCAAGGAACGACACCAATTCGTGGTCACTACTGTTGAATCTGTGGCTGGGAGGGGTGAAAAAAATGCAAAAAAATTCCTGTTGTGGAAAATGTTAATTTTTATTGCCTTATAAAACAATAGTTCCTTTGAAGATTACAGCCTCTTTCACAATGGAAAACACAGACAATGGGATTTGCTATTTAATTTTTTTTAATTGAGTACTGTAAAAATAACTCAAAAGATAAATAAATGTTACTGTGATGATCTATGTCCAGACATTAAGAATTTTCTCTCTCTACATTGTTTTATTCACAATGGCCTTCAAATCACAGGAGACGGTGATCCCAGTTCATTTCCTCTCTTTTCAGCCCATGTAGCTGGATTTCTGAATCAGCATTCACCCCGTGCTCCCCCTAATCCGTCCTCTCCTCATGCGTAAATCAAGCCCAGTCATTGTTCAGATAGAGCGGATTTTTCTCTTCTCTGTAAAGAGGACGCGTTGTTTTGCTATAGGGAAAAAAATAAAGAATTTGTTAAGAAGCCTGAAGTGTTAAGATGCAATTCAACGATCCTACATCCCTTCCTCCTGGCTGCCTTCACTCTTACATGAGTGTGGAGCAGCCGACTGGCACAGCGCTGCTGTTAACCAACTCCTGAAGGAGTTTAGTAGTGCTTTCACTTTACCACATGTAATTTTTAGTTCCTAAGAGGTCCACTTTACCTCTGTGAAAGTAAGTATCGGGATTTAAGTGGCTGAAAACATTGAACAGCTGCTCTGTGTGACTATTCTGAGTCACAGCTGCTCAATGTAGGGATAAAAATAGGTTCTTACTGCTTCTACTACTCTTCAGCTTCAGAGCCCAAACAGCTACAGATGGTGAGCTGATCTAGTTGGTCTCACAGACTGACTGAAAAGTTGACCAAGTGTCCTCTGGGTCTCTCAATGAGGCACAAACTGAGCCTGCCTCCAACACCTGATGCAGATGTTAGCAAAGTCAGTTCAACTACAGGTAAAGAAATGTCAATGCATTCCTGGAAAGAAAATAAAAAACAAATCGAATCAAAGCTTTACAATGCCGTTTGAAAAGCAGCGCTGTTCTCACTGAACTTCATTATACCAATTCCTTTGAAAGCTATGCCAGAGCAATCCACACTGTAACAACATCGCTTCTTCCACCTAAGAGTTTCACTTTAAGAAATATTGCAACTTAGTAACACATTCTGTTGCCGGTTAGGAGGTAGTGAAACTTGGGCACTCCCGCCACTACTTCACTAAAAAGCTTCATTCTGCGGAGGTCCCAGGTTTTCCAAAAGTACAAAACATAAGGTGAAAACGCATGCCAAGTGAAAATGCTTCCTAACATATTCCTGATGTGAGTTGGTATCTAGACTCAAATTTACTTCCCTTCACACATGCAGCACTTTCTCACATCAATTTCTCACTTGTGTTCTACTACAGGCTACGAAGATCAGTGCTTTTTTTCTTAATTACTTCCAATTTTGTAACTTCAACAACCTACTACGTGTTCAGCAACAGAAGTGCTACTTAGCCTAAGCTCTGCACTCTTTTCACAATTCCTACAAGTTGTGAACCTTCTGGAGGATCACTTTGCGCAGTGTTTCAATGCAATAATTTAAAGTTTTCTTATTGAAGAAAATAATCCCAGTGATCTCCAATTCCCCTTCTGTATGGAATTCAGGAGAGCCGCAACCTCTGTCAGCATGAGTGCTTTGATGAGAGCATCCTGTTTCTCTGGTAGTTTCTCTCACCTGCCATAAAGCTCTTGTACTGTTAGATCTGAGTATGAAAAGGTCAGTCATCCAAAAAGAACATAAAATTCTAACAAAAAATAAGCTCGAACCACGTAACCACTGGCCATACATTATGCTACCTACTTAGAGCTGCTGAATACATTTCTTTGTTCTATAGATGAAATAAGCCTTTTTCGCATTAACTCCCCCATGCTATTTCGAGCATGGTCTGGTTTAAATTCTGTTTCCCCAAATTAAGCTTTTTAACGGTCCTCCCCCAGAAACTTGAGCTCTTAGTCACCTTTTGAAAAGCTTGGTGAGCAAAAGGCATCTTGGCAAGTGCTCTAACCCTCCAACAAATCCAATTCTTAAACTGAGAAAATCTGCAAGGACCAGAAGAACATAAGAGAACCCACAAACTGTCATGTGGAGAGTGGTATCATTCGTAGAGGAGAAAGAACTTGTGTTTACTTCTTTAAAAGAAAAAGTCCATTCTGTAAGTGATGGTTAAAACATATTGTCCGGAGCACCCATGGCAGCTTAACAGAACGTTTCTATGGATGCATACTTCGTGGCTGCTTGTTGGAGGTAGGACAGCCTAGCAAACCACACAAAGAAAGAAAATGAAAGAACTCCTGTGTCACTTTGCTTTGTCACTGACATGCGGCATGGCTGTCACCAAAGACTCTGATGTGTTGGTCAAGTCATTACTTTGTTTCAGTGCCACAGTCCGTAAAACAAGGGTAACGTTTACTTCCCACTGGAATGTCATGAAGAACAGCAACAGTACAGTCATCCGAGTATGAAACATGTTATGACATATTCTGCTTAGATGGGAAGAATCCTGTTATATTCAAATCTTTTGCCCCACACAGTCCGAGAAGCTTTAGACAAAGAACGCTGACTTCTTCCCCCAGCTCTTACCAATGGGATCATATCTCAGCAGGACCAGTTTTTCCTGCAGTCGGAGCCTCTTGACGTTGAAACAGTAGCCCGTCTCGGCCGCGCTTTTCATCCTCACCAGAATGTACCTGAAATCACAAGGAATGTCTCTGTGTCAGTGCACAGGGGCGCTGTCAAAGGGACAAGCTTTTAGCATAAACAATTTGGCACAACCATGGAATCATAGAATGGTTCGGGTTGGAAGGGACCTTAAAGATCATCTAGTTCCAACCCCCCTGCCACGGGCAGAGACACCTTCCACTAGATCAGGTTGCTCAAAGCCCCAGCCAACCTGGCCTTGAACGATTCCAGGGATGGGGCATCCACAGCTTTTCTGGCCAACCTGTTCCAGTGCCTCACCACCCTCAGAGTGATGAATTTCTCCCTAACATCTAATCTAAGTGCACCCTTTCAGTTTAAAGCCATTGCCCCTTGTCCTGTCACTACAGACCCTTGTAAAACAAGTCCTCCTCCAGCTTTCCTGTAGGCCCCCTTTAGGCACTGGAAGGCCACTGTCACATAAGATACTTAATTTCAGCTTCATGGATGTTCTGCATGGGAGCTACCATACCATATGCTAAACTTATAACACAGACAAAGAGCCATAAATTCCAGCACCAAGTTTAACTAAGTGACTCCTAAACAGAATACAAGCCCAGAGAGAAGTAGCTCCTCCACAAAACAGTGAGGGGAGAGGAAGAAAAACAGGAAAGAAAGAAAAAAACCTAAACAACTCAACATACGACTGAGTCACTACGGCTTAAAAGATAATGGCAAGAGAGGAAGAATGATGGTAGTTAAAGATGTTCAGGCTGCAGATAACACTGTATCACAGACTATCGCTTCCACATGCAGAGAGGAACCCGAGCAGATAGGATGGAACAAGCGGGATGCAAAAGGAGACACAGGACCCCTTGGCACCATCCATCCCACTACAGACACAGGGCTTGACATGAACCCAGCCACGGAAACTCCCTTCCCCACTGGAGGGCTCTCAGTTTATGGGGCAGGCTGGCAGCAGCTGCAGTGTGCCTGGGAGCAGGGAAAGCCAGGAGACTGGGAAAGCCACTTGCACCCTGGAAGTATTCCGAGATCTGTGCAACTTCCCCGACACAGGGTATCTTCTGAAGTTTCAAAAGAAAGGTCAAACCCTTTAACCAATTTGTAAATGATGTCTTCCTCTTCCATTGCAATAAAGGGATACATCTCTGCATGTGGATTATTAATTTCCCTCAATTTTCCTGCTTCTAATACAAAATGGTCTGTCAAAATCAAGAGACATCCATTCTTCCTCACTTGTGCAGCTCTGACCAGTGTACTTCCTTGAGCTCTCCCCTTCCAGCTTTGCAATCTAATTTACTGATGAGTTCCAAACAAAAACAGAAAAGCATCGGATTCCTGCAGACCAAATGACCAAGCATAGCCTAGGAATTATCCCCAATTATTGTCCTCTCCTGTACACTACTGCAGGTGTGATGTGGAGCGCCAGTAACCACACAGACTCCTTCCCCTCTACCTCACCCACTTCCTCAAAGCCTCTGCGCAGTTTCCCTTTTCTGGGGGAACTGGTGGTATTGGCATGACCAGGCCTTTGAAATTCTTGTGCACCACACATCTGAGGCCAAGCCCCTTCTGAACAATACATCTTGTTGAGAAAACTTGCTGCCCAATGAAGAAATGTAACCAGGAGCAGAGGCAGAAAAGAACAGTGGAAAGCTATCAGGGCACAGGGAGAAAACCCAAGGGTAGCGCAGAAGGATAAACAATACAAGGAGATAACATATTCCTGAAATATATATGGGACTATACAAAGAACAGAGAAAGGAACATTAGGGGAAAAAAGAAAAGACGAGGAGGGGAAAAAAATAAATCACTACGTGAACATTAGTAACACCATTTTTTAAAGCTGCTTTTTCACCTCGCGGAAACATCCTGCTTTGCTGTGTTTGTTTCTGCCAACAGGTAACAGCAGAACGCTGAGACATCAAACTGCTCTCTTCCCTGTCAGGTACACACTTGGGAAGTGCTTTCTTAATTTCAAATCCTGACAATTGTGCAGAAATCCTGTAACAGAAGAACCTCTTCAAAGCCAGCAAGTGGTTGGTACTGGCTCTGTTGGGGGCTGATTCTTAAAAGATAATCAGAAAACGTACCCAAGGCCATAGTTCCTGAGGCTGCGTGGTTCCAAATACAACACGCTTGCACAGAATGCACCTTCTGAGAATCAGAAGAACGTGTTCAGATAAACGTATCTGTTCAGCCCCTTGGATTTGTCCAGCTAATTTTCTTACGGATAGCATTTTAGATGCAAGTCCTTCTCTTCGCATGATCTTGCATCCACAGTGTAAGACTACTACTGTGCTGAAAGTACATATTCCTTCCTTTCCAACCCTTAAAACACATCAGCTTTCTTTACAGGTCAGAGGACTGTGACTGATTTTCTTCCAGAGCCCGCTAACACCTCTCCTGAGCTTGACTATAGAGCAAATCAAGATGCCCAGAGCACCGGCTACGCCCCATCCACTCCTTGCACATGAATATATGGACGTGCTAAAACTGGGAAGCGCTCTGCACCTGTACCCCTGCACCCTGCCTATGAGAAAGCAGCTGCCCAAAGTCCGGCCCACAAACAACACAAAGACCCACGCTGTACCTTCACTTGCCTGCCTCAGCTAAAACGTATGAAAGGTAAACAAGAGGAAGATTACGTGGATAATTTATAGCCTCTCTTGAATCATGAAGCACAGAGGCGTGCTTCCCCTGCACAGGGCGCTTTGGATATTACAGCTCAGCTCAGCACGGCAGCCCACAGGACAAAACTTGCTTTAGCTGCGTTTTTAGAACCTAGAGGGTTTCTCACACCATTCTGTACTTACCTGTGAAAAGACACACATGCAGAATGACACAGAGGACGCAGCTAAACTCAAGGAGCTAAACTCAAGGACTGCAATTTTCTAAGGTGTATTAAAAAATTCTAGAGAAGCCTAATATTTCGTAAAGTCACTTACAGACACAGGGTGGTAGCAGAAATCAGAAACTGGTGAGGAAAACATCACTTACTTAGATTTGTTCTTGGCCACTTTTTTGCAGCATGAAGAGGAGAAAAAAAGAAGAAACAGTTATCATTTTATCTTGCTTCCTTTATATAAAGATTAAGTTTTCCACTGCCTGCCTTTGCAACAACCCCAGATAGATTGTGCAGAGATTTGCCTCACAGAAGAAACACCCTTCGTCCTTCCATCTACATGCTCCCAGTTGCCTGCTCTTTCTCCCACCATACTGCTTTTACAAGTGCCTATGCAAGCGCAACATTGCCTAGTGCAATGGACTGCACTTGTTGCAGCCTCCAGGAATTCACTAGAAGAATTCCAGGACAGTTAAGGCACGTATGAACTAACACTGCTGGTGAAAACTGCAGTCCCACTCTCCCCTACTTGCTTTTGCCCAACCCTGCTCAAGTTCCTGCTGTAGTGCCAACACAAAGGCTTGAATGCCCATACGGTGAACCAGAGCACGGAGCTGTTCTCAGATGACACTAACCTTCCCGCAAGGCTGGTTTTAGGCCCCCTGATCTAACCCACCACATAGAATGAAAAGGCAGAATTATTTTCTTCTGTCAGCCCAGTGAATTTAAAGTAACCATAAACCTACACCATGAATGCAAAAAAAAAAAAAACAAAAACCCACACTAAAATTTTAAAAATGGCTCATCTATATTCTGTCCATGCAAGCCTTGCTTAGGCCATCATGAGCTTCCGGCCAGCCTCCTCTGGCACTGTTCCCTCAACACAGCCCAAACTTACCCAGACCCCGTGAAGGGCACGTTTCTCACCTCAGACTCTCCCCCCCACCACCTGACTCCCTCCAGAGACTTCCTGTTTTTCAACTCAGGAGCTGAAGCTCCTCAGCCTCATTTCTGCGGGCTCGCAAGTTCTGCCGCCCTCGCGTCCTCCCCCACTCGG